TGAAATTAGCAACAAAAAATAAAAAAACAAACAGTTGAAAAGTAGCTGAAAAAGCAGAAAGAAGCTTAAAACGACCAGAAGGAAGTAGAGAGAGCACATATTTGCTGAATTAAGGTGAAAAAAGTTGAAAAGAGTGAAAAAATGTGGAAATAGCTGAAAAGGCTAAAATTAGCATATGAACAGCTAAATATTAGTTGAAATAGCAGAATAAGCTGAAACTGACAGAAATAAGCTGAAAATAGCAAAAAAGAAGAAGCACAAAAATGTTGTAATTAACAGAAAGAATATGAAAGGAGCACAAAACAGCTGAAAAAAAAAATCAGCTGAAATTAGCTGAAGCAGAACAAAATGTGAAAGGATCAGTAAAAGGTTGTAAACACATCTAAAGATATGAAGGAAGTAAAATGAGCTCAGTTCATTTTCTATGAGAAAAAAGTATCAGAAAAGGCTAAATATTTCAAAAAGCTAAAGTGGCACCAATCCCAAAAGTCATCGCACCCTTCTCCTGAACTAACCGAACGTTTTGATTCACGATTTGCTGAAAAGGCACAAAAATTGTGGAACGAGAAACTGATGCTGAAAATCGTATGGAAGAAAAATGGATCACAATAGTGTGAACGCTTCATAAACGTTCTCACAATGAAACAGTTTAAACATCTAATCTGTCACTACGTGCAGAATCACTTCCAAGTTGTGTTTTGACTTTCTGTAATGGTGCTTTTCTAAAAAAAAAAAAAAAAACTTTTTAAAAGAACTATTTTGAGCAAACTGAAATGTTTATTTTGTACACAACTCTGTGCTGGCTCTCCGCACGTCAATAGATATGGTCTCATTGTATTTTTTTCTTAAAGTTACGCAACTTCGTTTAGTCTTTGTCAAAGATTTTCCCATTTTTTGTGGAAGAATACAACAAACAAACATGCCTGGCAAACCCATCACTGAAGCAACACTTATATTGTCTTTGAGCCGTTTTAAATTAAATATGAGGCCCAAATAATTTGCATACACTGCTGTATCACATTTATGTCACTGCATATGGAAGTTGGAGGTAACACCGTACTTAATAACGTGTTGTCAAGATAATAAATGTAGATTTGTTTTGGCAAATGACAGACAATGCATATACATAAAATATAACCAAAGAATAAGAATAAAAGCTACTAGAGTGAAACAGAGCATGTAGTGGGATTACTGGTCTGCTGAACCACACTTTTCTTTCTGGTTCAACACAAAGGAGCATTTAAGTTAACAAAAGGTTATAATCCAACAGCAGAGCTGTGACGTTCCTGGGTTGTTTTGTCCTTTTGGACACAGGCCAAACTGAATTTGGCACAGCTTTAAAACATATATTTATTTTTTGTTCTTGGGAACATTTTCTCAGGAGGGTGAGTCCAGTGATTTTGGCATTAAACTTTAAAACCAGTTCGAGGTTGTGAAGCATAGGATTACCAGTGAAGGTTACTGATTACAGGGAAATTGGATGTGAGCCAGAGCCTCATCCCTCAAACCTTGACAGATGATAGGTGGCTGAGGAGCTGCCTCCAACAACACACCCCCTGACCCCTGTCAGGCTAAATTAGGACACACAGCGAGATTTATACACGGTTCCTAGAGATGAGGCTGCCGAACTGCCTGTCATTATGTAACAATGTACAGGACATTTCTACTTTTGTGAATAGGAACGTAAATAACACTGCACAACGAATAAATATTAAAAAGCGGCAAAAATAAACGTATCTGTCGTTTCTCGTCCGAAGAGTAAATAACCCAAAAAGATAAATACCGGCCACGCACGAAGGAGTCGCCTCTTCAGACCGGGGATAAGCTAGCTCACGTTAGCCAACTGCCAGTTATTTTCCACTGTACTCACTCACTAAATTATTAATTTACATAAACCAAAAAAAAAAATAAGTAAATAAGAGGGAAAAGTGTAATAGAGTTCAAACTGTACCAGAAAATAGTGGAGTGTGAATCCGCTTAAGTGATGTCCTGTCCCGGTTTAGATGCGGTGGGTAAAAGGAGGATTTTTAGCTGACGTTCAGGTCGTAGCGCTTTCGTACGTGATGACGTCAAAGGAGACGCCTCCGTGCTGCTGCAATTCTTTCCGATGGTTACAGATGATTAACTCTTCTCGCCGACCAGGGTCAGTGATAATCTGAGAAGGTAGTTGGATAATCTCAAAGATAAAATTACTGTCACATTTTAGTACCATCAGGTGTCATTCTCTTTTAATTTATTATATAGAGTGTTTGTTGTAGCTTTATGTAAGAAAAACGTTTTTGGTGTTATATAACTAGCCAACATACACTAAATGCACCTGCCGTGTATGGAAGTCTAATAGTGACACCACCCTTCGTGTGTGCGTAGTGGGAGACAAAATCTAGTAAAATATAACAATAATTTAAATGGTTGGAAAAAAATATTTAAACAACTAAGAGTAATTAAAGCAAAAATGTTGAACAAGATTTTTTTTTTATTTACAAAAAAAGTAAAAATAAGTACAAAAGCTTTGACATAGACAAGAACTATTATGTAATTACCACTATTTTTTTATTTCATTATATTTTAGAATTTCTATACATTTTAATTCACATTTATATTGTACACATTTTGTATGGTTTAATTCCGTGTTTAATGACTTTAAAGGGTCCGGTATACTCCATTCGAAGCACTGAAATTGGCTCTCAATGTCTTAGATGGGTGATGAAAATTGCATCAGAGCAGCTTTGCCCACCCCTTCTTGACACAAGGCCTTGGCCAAAATTTTCTCACAGGGGTATGTGCTAAATATTGTGTGATTGGTCAGAAGTTTGTGGGCATGTTTCTCAATGCAGAAATTCAGCTGTACAACTCTTCAAACTCACGAAATTAGGCAAATGGCCGAAAACTCCTGGATGCAGATCGTGCAGATGTGCACAGAGAAATCTGTCTGCTTAAATGTGTGGCGTTTTCTTCATGATAGATTTGTGGCCAAACGGTGGCTGCATGAAGACTCTGGTGAAAAGAAACCCTGCGGTGATGTGCAACAAGAGGGGTTTCCCAGGAGCTCTGTGTCTGTTTCTCATGGACTATGAAAGCCTGGTGCAAAACCAAATGTCCTGCAACCACGTGACCACTCGTCAACTGTTCAGCTTCAGATGGAGTATCCCTTTAGCTTGTAAGCAAACAATTCCATCCATCCATCCATTATCTTTTACCCGCTTCTTCCATTTTGGGTCACGGGGGTCGTCGGTGCCCATGTCCGGCAATCACTGTGCGTGGGGCGGGGTACACCCTGGACGGGTCGCAAGTCCATCACAGGGACACATCGAGACAAACAACCATGCACTCTCTCACTCGAATTAGGACAAAGTGGTAGATTCAAATCTTCAAGCATTTTAAAAATGGCTTAAATATAAACAGTTCAGAAAGGTTTATTAAACAATATTTAATTAAATCAAAAAGACATCCATTATCTTTACCTGCTTCTTCCTTTTTGGATCGCAGGGGTCACTGTTGCCCATGTCCAGCCATCACTGTGCAAGAGGCGGGGTACACCCTGGACATAGCGCAAGTCCATCACAGGGACACAGAGACAAACAAAATAACCACGCCTAGGGACAAATTAAGAGTTCCCAATCAGCCTAACATGCATGTTTTTCAGTCTGTGGGAGGGAAGTGAAGTAGAGTACCCGGAGAAAGACCATGCATCCACGCTGAGAACAAACAAACTCCACCCAGAAAGGTCCCCGGCCAGGATTTGAACCGGCAGCTCTACCAACTGCGCCACTGTGCTGCCCCAACTATAATGTGTTCTTTTCAATTTGTTGTACAATTTGAAAGTATTTGTATTTTATTCATTTTCATATTTTCATTTGTTTATGTAGTTATTTCATTCTTGAATCTAACCTTTTTTTGAACTATTAATTTGTATTTCATTCATTTAAACATAAAATGCTGTAAAAAAATTATTATTATTATTATTATTATTAACAACCGTTTTAATAAAAAAAAAAAATTATGGCACCCACATGACTCTATACAATCAGGTTGAGCGCTTCAGCACCGCGCATGCGTATTATCATTTTTCACTATGGCTGACACGGGCTGGCCAGGCTGTGCGAAGAGTTTGAAAGGTGTTATTTTGGACTTGTGTGGAGTTTTGTATGACAGCGGGGAAGGCGACGGAGTTGCCATTTCTGGCTCGGTGGAAGCTGTGAAGAGGTGAGGGGAAAGTTAGTGACATTTTGTGACATATTCTGTTCAAACGTCGGCAAGTTTAGTTTGCACGGGCTCGCGAGAGACCCTAGAAAATTCACTGTCAACTGACAACCAAGGAGTTCTTGTACGCATGCGTAAAGCACTACGTGAATAGCGTAAGAACTCATAACATTCACTTACCTTCAGTTTGATCTCCTAACGTGCGATTTTAGGTTGAAAGCATCAGATCTGCAGCTGCGCTTCTGCACCAATGAGACTCAGGCGACCAGAGAGAAGTTTGTAGCCAAACTCAGACGATTGGGTTTTGACATTTCTGAGTCTGAGGTTTTCCCTCCTGCGCCTGCAGCCATTGCTGTCCTGAAGGAGAGAGGTTTACGTCCCCACCTGCTGGTGCATGATGGTAATGCTTCTTTTTTTTAATTTAATTTAATTTATTTTTTTTGTAATGCTTCATTAAGAACCCCTCAAACTCAAACAAGCAGTTTGTGGCACTTCATTGCAGCGTAGAGGCTGAATTTCTCAGAAGTAAAAATGGGCAGGGGTTTAGCAGTTTAACATCATCTGGCCTGTAATCAGCACATTTTTTATTTTGTTGAGCTTTTCATGATGTGTTGCTTACATAAATTTTAAACGACTTTTTTTTTTTACCAAGAAAACTAGTACAACTTCTTAGTTCAATCATTTGAAATGATTACTATATGAATAAAATATAGGTTTATGAGACTTGTAAATGTTTGCCTTCTGTTTTATTTACGTCTTGCACAACATCCCAACTTTTTAAATGAATCAGGGGCTGGAAAATATTATTGTATTTGCAATATAAGTTGACAACTTAAACATTATGTGAAATTGCTCCTTTTTTTTAGGACTTCGTCCAGAGTTTGACGGTGTTGACAAGACCAACCCGAACTGCGTGATCATTGGAGACGCAGCCGAACATTTTTCTTACCAGAACCTGAATGAGGCTTTCAGGGTCCTTATAGGGCTGGAGAAACCAGTGCTGTTCTCTCTTGGACAAGGGTATTCATTCCCCCCCTCCCCCCCCCCCCCCCCCCCCCCAAAAAAAAACAACATTTAAATTTAAACAAGAATTGGAATTAATAAGACACTTCTTGTTAATTTATTTGTTTTTTTAGGAGGTATTATAAGGAGACGGATGGGTTGAAATTAGACGTTGGTGTTTACATGAAGGCTCTTGAGGTAGACGCATCAATTGCGCTTATATTTGGTTGAGAACATCCATGCTGTATAAACTTACTTTTATTATTATTATATTTGTTTTCAGTATGCGTGTGATTTAAAGGCTGAAGTAATTGGGAAGCCATCCCGGACTTTCTTCCAGAGTGTTCTGAACGACATGGGACTCGAACCACATGAGGTATGAAATGATAAACGATGACATGCGGCATCGTTTATTAGCCGTTTGTGTGTTTGTAAGCACAACAGTACGCCAGAAACTTTACCACCTTCTTGCATATAAATTGAATCTTGTGTTAGTTGTTTGGTGTTTAACTGGGACAATTAGAGGGGAAATATCAAAAGTAAAACAAGAACAGAACAATAAATCTGAATGTCAAAGTAAACAAGATGTGTATATAATTTGATTAAAAGGTGTTGAATTTGTGGGTGGCACAGTAACCTGAGTTTCCACTGTTCTCTGTGCAGACTGGTGAACCTCTGCCCATCTTTACTTCTAAAAGATTCAGCCTCTAAAATGCTCTTTTTACACCCAGCCCTCTTACTGACCTGCTGCTATTTAATCGTATTAGTTGCAAAATACTCCTCTATCCGTGTTTTAGTCGTACCGCCTACTTTTACAGCCTTTTGGTGCCCTGTCCCATCATTGTTGGGATGTGTTGCCATCAGAACAGAGGGTTAAAAGAAACTATGTCCTGGAAACAAACAGTTCAATTCAGTTCATTTATATAGCGCTTAATCACAACAGAAGTTGTCTCAGGGCACTGAACAGGAACATTCACATACATACAAAAGCACTTTAGTAAAGTTCTCTATCTAAGGAAGCCAGCAGGCTCGTTGAATCTTTATGTCGTCACACTCTCCCATCCTGAGCAAGCACAAAGGCAACAGTGGGAAGGAAAAACTCTCTTTTAACAGGAAGAAACTTCCAGCAGAACCAGGCTCGGGACGAGCGGCCGTCTGCTTCGACCTGTTGCGTTTGAAAGGACAGGAAGGAGAGAGAAACACACGCAGAATGGCACGTCCAGATGTAGGTGCAGATGTACCTGAAAGACAAAAACACATGTCAAGGATAGAGAAAATTAAAATACAAAACCAGTTGAGCAGAGTATGTAAAGACAGTAGGATAGTGAGGAAATGTGGTCAGTTTGTCCTCCAGCAGTGTATGCCTATAGCAGCATAACTAAGGGATGGCTCAGGAAACCCAAGCCAACACTAACTATAGGATTATAAAAAAGGAAAGTCTTAAGCCCAGTCTTAAAACTGGATAATGTGTCAGCCTCACGGACAGAGATTGGAAGTTGGTTCCACAAGAGAGGAGCCTGATAACTGAAAGATCTGCCTCCCATTCTGTTTTTGTAAATTCTAGGAACCACAAGTAAACCTGCAGCCTAAGATCTGTAATATAAGATGGAGCTAGGTTGTTGAGAGCTTTGTAGGTTAGAAGTAAGATTTTGAATTCTATTCTGGATTTGACAGAGAGCCAGTGGAGAGAAGTTAAAACTGGAGAGATGATCTCTCCTACCTATACTCTCATAGACTCTGGGCGCATTAGACGTTTCTAATTTGAGTGATATTACGCAGGTGGAAGAAGGCAGTTCTAGTAACGTTTTTAATGTGGGGGATAAAAGACATGTCCTGATCAAAAATAACACCAAGATTTTTAACATTAGAGCTGGAGGACAGATTAATGGCATCCAGAGAAAGTGAAAGGCTGCAAAATTTATTTCTAAGATGCTCAGGTCCACAAACCAAAACCTCAGTCTTGTCTGAGTTTAAAAGCAGAAAATTAAGGGTCATTTTTATGTCTTTAAGACGTGCTTGTTAAGTAACTGATTGGATTCATTGGGTTTCATGGACAAATATAACTGTATCATCAGCATAACAATGAAAATTTATCCCACACTGTTTAATAACTTTACCTAATGGAAGCATAAAGAGTATTGGTCCAAGCACTGAACCCTGAGGAACTCCATGACTAACTAGGGCTAAATGAAACTATGTGCTGGAAACAAACAAGGATTAGCTGAGTGTTTGCCTGTATGATCTGTGGTGTTCAGCAGATGTTTGAACATGTGTTTGTCCCTGGTCAGACCCCAAGCCTGGCAGCTGGCACTGGAAAACATCAGGCTTATCTCCGTCTAAACCTCATTCCACTCAGTAGATATCCTTACTTTTAGTGAGGCGTTATATTTTCTCCAGAATTATTTTTTCCTCTGTGTGCATGGACATTCCTTGCTGATTCACTCCCCCTTACAAACCACCATCCTTCCTTTCATTCTTTTTAGGAAGTCCTGTGAATACTTTCTGGAACGGACATCTCGTTCACCATATGAGATTTTTTTACGACACCCCGTTGGTGCTGCGCTTCTCCAACCTGGTTTACTCCCAGCTTTATGAACCTTTAAGAAAAATATAACATTGACATCTGGTAGTTTATCGCCGCACAAATGAATTGCATGTACTGAAAGAATCATAAATGGATGCGCGGTTGAAGACCAAACAAAAAGAACCAACAAGGACAGGAAACTGTAATATAGAGAGAAGTCTTGAAGTCTCTGCAGCTGCAGCACATGTTGGTGCAGCGTTGTGCAACTTGTGGAGGAAGTATGCTAAATTTAGCTCTCCCAGTTATTAAACTAATGTTCTTGTTTTTCAACGGCAGGTTCTGATGATCGGGGATGATCTCGTAAACGACGTGGGAGGAGCTCAATGTTGTGGCATGAAAGGTGTTCAAGTCAGGACTGGTAAATACAGGTCAGCGAAGCCCTGGTTTCACCCACACTCACTTCTCGAAGGCTTTTGTTGCTAGAAATGTCACCTCCTTTAACTTAATTTGGCATTATCTGTACCTCCAAAGTGTATACACAACTTACTGCAAAACGTACTTTTATAAGCTAAGTTTCTTCAAGTTCAGAAAAGAAAATGAGTAAATATTTCTCTGTAGGGAAGCTTTAAATCAGTTCTTATTTTAACCACAAGAGGGCGCCCTTGCGCCACATTTCCACATCAAAGTTTCCTCTTCCTGTGAACCAACCGCCCCATTCTTAAATCTTCCACATTTGTTTGTTTGAGGCTCTGCCAAAAATAGCTTTTCCTTTTCCACACGATGACCACGAGGTCGTAGTCGCTAAACGATTTATGGCCCAAAATCTGGAGATTAGTGGGATGCCCTTAGTCTCGTTATAGAAAAATGTGGTTATTTTTGAAGATATACGAGGTACTTATGGCTTAAGAAAAACAGAGCAAATAACTAGGATTCAATAAGATGCTGTTATGGAGCTACGCATGTCACACAAAAGTGTCTGATGATAAATCCTGCTGTTTCTAATTTGTTGTGTTGGATTAATGCAGTTTCCTTGAGAAGTGTTCGTGAGTATAGAACAAGAATCCTAAACTGTTTTAACCAACTGAATTACTTTTAGAGATTCAAAATGGCTGCTTAGTCCTGCACAAAAAAGGCTAGAACTGTACAGGAAGTGAGCTAAAATGTGACGTGGTGGTAGCTGAGAGTCATTTATAACACATACTCTGAGTGTGACCACTGCAACTGCATCATTTCTTAGCAGAGCATGTTGTCAGCCTAAAAGTCGGACGTGACAGTGAAAGGCGGAGGGTGATATGCATTCCTTTAAAGAATGTGAAGCCTTTAATTACAAACTGTTGATGTTGAGTCTGAGGAGTTTGGACCCATAACGTTTTAAATCCAGCATGCAAGAATAAATAATCTAGCCCTGGATCAGTTTGGATAACACCTCGTATAATAGTGTGACTGTTTGTGAAGCATTCACACTATTGTGATCCATCTTTCTTCCGTACGGTTTTCGGCATCTTTCTCGTTCCACAATTTTTGTGTTATTTCAACAAATCATAAATCAAAACGTTCACCTCTTTCAGGATGATCCTGTTGTGACTTTTGTCATTGGTGCAACTTTAGCTTTTTGAAGCCTTTTCTGCCACTTTTTTCCTCATAGCAAATGAATTGAGCTCATTTGACCTCCTTCATATCTTTAGATCTGTTTACAATTTTTACTGCTCCTTTCACGTTTTATTCCTTTCTTTCAGCTTTTTTTCAGCTACTTTCAACTAATTTCAGCTGTTTTTCAGCTGTTTTATGCTCCTTTCTGATTCTTTCTGCTAACTAGAAGATTTTTGTGCTTCTTCTAACTACTTTTTTGCAAATTTTAGCTCATTGTGCTCTTTTTAGCTTATTTCTGCAAATTTCATTTTTTTCTGCTATTTCAACTACTATTTAGCTGTTTATATGCTAATTTTAGCCTTTTCAGCTAATTCCACGTTTTTTTTTGCTCTCTTTTCAACTTTTTTCAGCCTAGTTCAGCAAAAACCTGCTCTCTCTCCACATCGTTCTGATAATTTAAGCTTATTTCTGCTTTTTTTTAGCTACTTTTCAGCTTTTTTTTTTTTTTTTGGTGCAAATTTCTGTGGGGTTTTTATTTTTTCAGTTAATTTCCACCTTTTTGTGCTCATTTCTGCTTCTTTCAGTTTAACTGGACAAACTTGTTCTTTCTGCTTTGTCCTGCTACTTTTAGCTTGTTCTACCTTTTCAGTTATCTTTTTTAGCTAGTTTAAGTTGTTCTCAGATAATTTCCAGATTTTTGTGGTAACTTCTGCTACTTTCAGCCTATTTATCTCCTTTATGCTAATTTCAGCTTGTTATGCTCCTCTCAACTTCTACTAGTTTCAGTGATTTCAGCTAGTATTTAGCTGTTTTATGCTATTTTTAGCCTTTTCAGCTAATTCTACATTTTTTTAGCTCATTTCATGTCTTTTCACTTCCTTCTGGGAGTTTAAGCTTCTTTCTGCCACTTCAGCTTCTTTTCCACCTTTTTTTGTTGCTAATTTCAGACTTTTTTTTTAAGCTAATTTCATAATTTCTGTGCCCACTTCTGCTTATTTAAACCTAATTCAGCAAATATGTTCCTTCTGCTTTCTTCTGCTAATTTAGGCTTGCTCTTCCTTTTCAGCTAAAATTCAGCATGTTTTTTTTAGCTAATTTCATTTGTTTTTCAGCAAGTTCTTCAGCAATAAGCATTCACACTGCATTTTTTTGCAGGAAATGCGATTTCTCCAGTTAAAGTATGTTGGGTTTGTGTACTCTGTTTAAACTGGACTAACCTGGGCGCCTCTCGACTGAGCTGAGTGTGTACCGACTCCTCGCCTCGGCTGTCCCGAAATAAGGCCATTGTTTTGTTTTATTTTGACGAGGTGTTAACCAGAAGAGCTCGGCGCAGCGCTGCATGAACAGCTGAAAAACAATGTCTTGCAGGCTTCGGTCACATGGACAGTGCAGAGTAATGTGCTCGAGCGTCAGCCACTTTAAATGCTGCCGTCAGATACTCCCAACTGAACCGTTCCTCTTGTTTGTGCTGCTTTTCTTTTCTTTTTTTTTCCTCTGCACAAACTGGAACACATGGGCGTGTGTTTACTCTCTGCTGTGCTTTTGTGTGTCTGGCCAACATGTATGTGCATGTGTGGGTAACCTCTTTGTGTCGGTGCCAGCGCGTGCGTTTGAACTTTCCGCGTGCTGCTTCGTTACAAGTGTAGGAGACGGGACTATTCTGATGCAAATTCTCGGTGGAGTTAGCTCGAGCCACGTGGTTTCTGTTACGCAGTCGGGCTTCGGTCTGTTCAACTATATATGTTGGTTTTTTTAGGAGAAAGCAGCTGGATGAGAGTTGAGGAGCAAAAGGAACATTTGTGCAATCAGTATTGGGTTGTATGACATGTTGTGTTACAGCTGTAGTGGTTTAGCATCATAAAAACCTGCTGCTGTTTTTTATTGTGTGAATTTTTATGAAGCGTTCACACTATTGTGATATATTTTTCTTCCGTACATTTTTCGGCATCTTCCTCATCTCGCCGTTTTCAAGCTATTTCAACAAGTCGTATATTAAAACGTTCAGCTCTTTCAGGACAACCCTGCTTTGACTTTTGGTATTGGTGCAACTTGAGCCTTTTTAAATATTTAGCCTTTTCTGGCATTTTTTTTCTCATAAGAAATGAATTGAGCTCATTTGACATCCTTCAAATCTTTAGATCTGTTTACAACCTTTTACTGCTCCTTTCACGTTTTGTTCTGCTTCAGCTACTTTCAGGTTCCTTGTGCAAATTTGGAAAAAAAAAATGCTATTTTCAGCTAATTTCAGCTCTTCTTTCAGCCGTTTTGTGCTCTTTTCTGATTCTTTCTGCAAGTGTCTGCATTTTCTACTACTTCAGCTATTATATAGCTGTTTTTATGCTAATTTAAGCTTTTTCAGCAAATTTCTCATTTTTTGCACTCATTTCAACTTTTTTCAGCCTAATTGAGCAAAAATGTGCTATCTCCACTTCCTTATGCTAATTTAAGATTCTTTCTGCTTTTGTAGCTACTTTTAAGCTTTTTTTTGGGCTAATTTCAGCTTTATCAGATAATTAACACTTTTCTGTGCTCATTTCTGCTTCTTTCAGCAAACGTGTTATTTTTGCTTTCTTTTGCTAACTTAAGCTTGTTCTACATTTTCAGCTACTTTTTTTTTTAGCATTTTAGCTCATTTTAGCAGTTTTCAGATAAATTAAAGTTTTTCATGGTAATTTTTGCTACTTTCAGCCTAATTAACTTTTTTCTACTAATTTCAGCTTGTTATGCTCCTTTCAGCTTTTTTGTTTGTTTGTTGCTAATTTCAGTTTTTCTGCAATTTCAACTACTTTTTTAGCTGTTTAATGCAAAATTTAGCTTTTTCAGCTAATTCCAAATTGTTTGCTTATTTCAGCTTCTTTCTCTTCCTTCTGGTAGTTTAAGCTTCTTTCTGCCTTTTCAGCTACTTTTCAGCAGTGTTTTTCTAATTTCAGCCCTTTTTTTTAGCTAATTTCTTAATTTTTGTGCTCATTTCAACCAAGTACAGTAAATATGTGTTCTTTCTGCTTTTTTCTGCTAACTTAGGCTTGTTCTTCCATTTCGGCTACATTTTCCATGTTTTTAGCTATTTTCTTGTTTTTCAGCAAGTTCTTCAGCAATAAACATTCACACTGCATTTTTGCAGGAAATGCAATTTCTCTAGTTTTATTTTATTTTTCAACTAAAACTACGATTTTGAGTTGAGTATTTAAGCTGAGTTGAATTATGAAAAATAAGCAAAAGTTTGTGCTGAATTTTTTAATATTTTTTTCGCAACTCCTTTGTGTAGCTGATTCATCATATCTGTGTGAGAGCGAGAACAAAAGAGACTAGTTGTTTTGTTTTGGGGAATTCATTTTTTAAATTTATTTTAAACTTTGCCAGGAATGGAGATAAAAATGTAAACTTGAAGACGTCTGAGCCGTCATTTACCTGTTAATCAAACCAGCCCGTTATGTGTAAATGGGTAGTTCAGATTAGTTGAAGTGAGATTCTATGGGAAGGTTGAGAGTAATTATCATCTTACCTGTTGTAGATGGTAAAGATGGACAGTGATTTAAAATTATTAGAAGTCTATGAAACAGAATGATGAGTGTCCAAGTGTTTGTCATTGTATTTTATGTTGAAAGGATTATAAAGGGAAAACTGTGGTCACAGGTATGCTCACCTTTATCGTTTAAAAAACTGTTATTCCCCTCGATGTTAGCCATTGGACCAGTGAAAGTGAAGGAATATAAAGCTTAGGGATGGGCAGTGATTTTCAGGTATTGTGACCGTCACAATCATCTTCCAAAGAAAAAGGGAAAAACATCTGGAGGGTCCACAGCATTTATTTCTGCTATTGTAGTTTATTTTGAAAGTG